ACCTAAATAAAGTGGTTTTTAAAAATCATTTGATTTATTATTACAGTCAAACCTCGCTCTACAGTCAAACCTTTTTTCTTCCTTTTTTTTTAATAATATGATACACTCCACGTTTTTCATTTAGAGTGTGTTACATATTTAAAACTATCCCCTTTTTAGTCTACCTAAATAAAGTGGTTTTTAAAAATCAATTGAATTATTATTACAGTCAAACCTCGCTCTACAGTCAAACCTTTTTTCTTCCTTTTTTTTTTATAATGTGATACACTTCACGTTTTTCATTTAGAGTGTGTTACATATTTAAAACTATCACCTTTTTAGTCTACCTAAATAAAGTGGTTTTTAAAAATCATTTGATTTATTATTACAGTCAAACCTCGCTATAGAGAACACAGTTTATAGTGAACTCCCGGATATAGTGAACGAAATTTTCGCTCCCGTGCCTCGCTACATACGTAAAATGTTATTTTTTGTGGATATAGTGAACCAAAGAAAAGAGAGGAAGTTGGATACTATGAACTTTTTTCTGACTTCGACTCATTTTCTTTATTTTTTTGTAATAATTTTGTAATTTCTATTTCAAAATAAATACATATACCGATTTTTAAAACTATGCATAGCGTGGAATGTAGCAACAAACATTTTCTCTTGTTTGCTTCATTATTGAATTGGTTCAGCATTCACAAAGCCGCACAATCTTCCAGTATCTCAGTGTTTCCCGAATTGTGGTACGCGTACCCCCAGAGGTACGGGAACAGTTTAGCGGGGGTACGCGTTCTTATGTGAAATATCTTACAACAAACAAAAATTTCAAAACAAAGCTAGCCATGAAAATTTACAATTACGTACTTGTCTATTGGCTATTTTTTGCAGAGTTAATAATTAATAATTAGTGGTGTCAGCAGCCAGTTGTGATTTTTAACTTTTGTGCATTTTTTATAGTAAAAAATGCATTCATTTTTTTATTTGTGGTACACAGCTTTACGAAAAATTTAGAAAAGGTACACAAAAGTCTTAAGTTTGGGAAACACCTGGGAGAACTGAAATGAAGGTTGATAGTTCTCTAGTTCAGATCAAAACTATAATCTGTGAATGAAAGAATGGCTCCGCCGCATAAATGTGATGTATGGGTGTGCAGAAGTTTAATTCTTGGCCATAGATGGCGCCACTGGAAAAAAAGAACATTTGTGCCCCATCTGCTTTAATGTTTTCAATAAACAGAGGGGAAAAAATCCTTGATTTATTATTTTTCCTCAATTTATTATTTGGTAATCTTCATACTTAAGAAACATGATCAATATGTCCATTAACTAGAATGGGAGAAATCATCAATTGCTGCACATTGTTGGAATCTTGAGCATAAATTAAATTTCGACAAATTCAAAATTAATTCAACTCTAGTAACATTAGCTCACCTCTGGAATCTTGTTTTATTCACGTGAATTTTGATTCCCTTGTTAACGGCAGCATTTCCTCAAAACCTCGCTGTACCTCAAGGAAATGCATTTTTCCATCATTTGCCCCTCTCAACCACTGTGGTTTTTCTTGTTCTGTTTTTCATTTCTTCTCTTTCTTTCTCGGCTACTGTGATTTTTCTAGTTATGTTTTTACCTTTAGTTTTCTATTTTTTCGTTGGCAACTTTACATTTTCTATTTCAAATCACCTTTGTTAAGGAGTTATCTCCTCTTTTGTCAACCAAAAAGGTTTTTGACCCACTGTGGGCCCCCTAATTGCTTCATGCAAATTTCCTTTGTTGCAATTGTTCGGCTCATGGAACCCTACTTCCTTGCCGAGTTTGATCATTGTAGCTTAATATTAAAGGGAGTTACGTGGTTTTGACGTTTGCGTGCGTCATATCGTTTGTCATTTCGGTCATTATATACATTATTCGCATCTTTAACAAAAAAAATACTTGTTTTTATATTTAGAACGCATATTATTCAAACTAAAATATCGAAAATATTGAAAAAGAGGTTTAAATAAAATGAATAAATAAATTATCCCGAATTTCCCGATTTTTTTCCATTATTCGCTATTTCCTGAAGGGAATTTTTTTTCATATATCTGGAACCCTATGAAATATCGAAAAACACATTAAAAAAATAATATAAAATAATATAAAATAAAATAAAACAAAAAAAAATTTAAAACTTGACCACCGCTGGAATTCGAACCCGCGTACCTACTCTCAACGAATCTTACTCGCGTACAGCCCTAACCACTGTGCCACTCCATACACGGTGATGCCACGAATATTTAGCTTAAAGAACTCTCTCCCCCGTAGACAACCAAAAAGATTTTGGGCCCATTGTGGGTCCCCTAATTGCTCTATAAAAATTTCGTTTGGTGCGACTACTTAGAAAATTGCTTCAAACTTATTAAATTTTTATGATATTACAATCGTGCTTTTTTTTATTTAGTTGATATATGCGATAAAAGTAAAAATTATGAAATGTTTTTAAGCTTTTTTCTGCGCATGCGCAGCATAAAAGAACTACTTAAGTACTTTTTTCAAATAAATACAATCGAATTAATACAAATATAGATACATTGAAACTACTTACTCCACAATAAAATTGATACTAAACTAGTCCAAAATTAATGCTATTAAACCATTAAAATTATACTGCATGCTACAGGCCACATTTTCAAATTTAAAAAAAAAGTTTTTTTTAAAAGTCCATCCTTTTACAAGATTTATAAATTTTAGTAAACTTTGTGAATGAATTGATACATAATGTATTAGTTATTTTCACTGTGTAATCTTTTAAGTGCCACTAAATACCAGATTCTCTCACATAGACCCGTTTCTAGGCATTTCTATTCCAAATCGTTAATTTTTCAGAAAATGGCACTATAAGAACTAGTGATTATTTTGGTAAAAAGGTAAAATTATCTGCAGTCAACAAAAAAATTAAAAATTTGCAGATAATTTCTTCAGATAAACTTATTTTCTACTCATATTCAATCTTTAAAATAATACTTAACACTTTGAATTTTGTTTCTCAAAATACAGTCAATTCGCTATAACTCGAATATTACTATAACTCGATTTTTTTATGAGGTCCCGACCCTTTTATCTTCAATTTCATGTTAATTATTCTCGATTACTCGAATTTTACTCCCTTTAACTCGATTTTTTTTGGNACATCACTTTACCTTTTAATCTTCAACAGATTAGACCAATGTTTTTTGTTCTATTTAAAATTGAATGAACTTTCACGATTATTTGGATGCCTTTTAGAGTGAGTTGACAAAATCAAATTTCAATTGGTTTTGTTTAACTTAGAATGAACATCACTTTACCTTTTAATCTTCAACAGATTAGACCAATGTTTTTTGTTCTATTTAAAATTGAATGAACTTTCACGATTATTTGGATGCCTTTTAGAGTGAGTTGACAAAATCAAATTTCAATTGGTTTTGTTTAACTTAGAATGAACATCACTTTACCTTTTAATCTTCAACAGATTAGACCAATGTTTTTTGTTCTATTTAAAATTGAATGAACTTTCACGATTATTTGGATGCCTTTTAGAGTGAGTTGACAAAATCAAATTTCAATTGGTTTTGTTTAACTTAGAATGAACATCACTTTACCTTTTAATCTTCAACAGATTAGACCAATGTTTTTTGTTCTATTTAAAATTGAATGAACTTTCACGATTATTTGGATGCCTTTTAGAGTGAGTTGACAAAATCAAATTTCAATTGGTTTTGTTTAACTTAGAATGAACATCACTTTACCTTTTAATCTTCAACAGATTAGACCAATGTTTTTTGTTCTATTTAAAATTGAATGAACTTTCACGATTATTTGGATGCCTTTTAGAGTGAGTTGACAAAATCAAATTTCAATTGGTTTTGTTTAACTTAGAATGAACATCACTTTACCTTTTAATCTTCAACAGATTAGACCAATGTTTTTTGTTCTATTTAAAATTGAATGAACTTTCACGATTATTTGGATGCCTTTTAGAGTGAGTTGACAAAATCAAATTTCAATTGGTTTTGTTTAACTTAGAATGAACATCACTTTACCTTTTAATCTTCAACAGATTAGACCAATGTTTTTTGTTCTATTTAAAATTGAATGAACTTTCACGATTATTTGGATGCCTTTTAGAGTGAGTTGACAAAATCAAATTTCAATTGGTTTTGTTTAACTTAGAATGAACATCACTTTACCTTTTAATCTTCAACAGATTAGACCAATGTTTTTTGTTCTATTTAAAATTGAATGAACTTTCACGATTATTTGGATGCCTTTTAGAGTGAGTTGACAAAATCAAATTTCAATTGGTTTTGTTTAACTTAGAATGAACATCACTTTACCTTTTAATCTTCAACAGATTAGACCAATGTTTTTTGTTCTATTTAAAATTGAATGAACTTTCACGATTATTTGGATGCCTTTTAGAGTGAGTTGACAAAATCAAATTTCAATTGGTTTTGTTTAACTTAGAATGAACATCACTTTACCTTTTAATCTTCAACAGATTAGACCAATGTTTTTTGTTCTATTTAAAATTGAATGAACTTTCACGATTATTTGGATGCCTTTTAGAGTGAGTTGACAAAATCAAATTTCAATTGGTTTTGTTTAACTTAGAATGAACATCACTTTACCTTTTAATCTTCAACAGATTAGACCAATGTTTTTTGTTCTATTTAAAATTGAATGAACTTTCACGATTATTTGGATGCCTTTTAGAGTGAGTTGACAAAATCAAATTTCAATTGGTTTTGTTTAACTTAGAATGAAAATCATTTTACCTTTTAATCCTCAACAGATTAGATCTATGTTTTTTGTTCAATTTAAAACTGTTTATTGCTCATAGAACAGTTCCATTGTTAAAATCATTCCACTCTCTAATAAATAAATTTTTTTGCCATTTTTGTTTTCTTAATTAGTGGAATTCATAAATTATTAATGAGGAGCATTTGAGTGGTGAATTAGAGAATCCTTTGAAAGCGAATAATGTAAAATTCACACAAATTAATTATTCAAATTTATTAAAAATATACTTAAAATTAAACATTTGAATGAGGGGGAGTTACTCGAAAACAAATGGCTTGTGCATTAGAGCTTCCAGAAGGATGTATATCAAAAGGTACATCTTGATAGTACTTGATTAAATCCGACAGTCTTTGAAAACTCTGAAAATAAAATTTCAATATTATTAAAGCAGTTCCTACTGTTATCTAAAGTAGCAGCAAAGTAAGTATTATATTTTAGTTTTGTATGAACATGATATATGAATTTATTTTCATGATCGAAAGTTCATTACCCAGTGTAGAATAATTTTCCTATTTCTTCTGATGTACAAAAGATAATTGGTGAACACCACCAGAGCAAATTAGTTATGTTTGGAAAGTTTTGTGTCGTGCTTCAATGAAAAAAAGAAAAAGAAACATGAGAGAGAACGAAATTAATTGAAAACGGATGTTTGAAAAAGAAATTTCCTTCGAACCAAACATTAAATAAATGCCCAAGTAATAAGAATTTTTTCACTTTTTTTCTGAATATTTTCACAAATCCTATTTGGTATCGTTTCTGCATGTTTTATAGATAATTTGTCTTGATTATCATCCATTTGAAGTGTGAATAAAATGATTTGAATAAGAGAATGCGTTATCGACCGCCGCATATTGAATACTGCTAATTTTTATCTTTCCTATGCCGGCAAGGTTTTTACTCTGGAATCTGCCATCTGGAAAGAAGACTGGTTCCATATCCTTCCCTCTTCTCAGCTGTATAGGAATGTACTATAATATTTTCTCCTCTCTTAACGCCTTCCTTCTCGCTTCCGTGAAAATGACGGGGTGAGGTTTCGCCCTCTATTTCTCGCTCCCGTGATATTTCCGGGTTGGAGTGTTGAGCAGTAACGCGCCAACAAGAATAAAACTAATTCATTTCTTTTGCCCGGAAAACATTTTATTTCTCATTTTACTCACCAGATGGCAGTACCAGGATAGTTTTAAAGTAATTGTAGATAATTAGTTTATTTTAAACTAGATGTCAGTACTAGATGTCAAAAAAATAGGCACTTTCATGATAGCTTTCTTGAAAATTAACCGATCGTAAAGGGCTAATATTTTTCGTATTTAATTGTCAAATATATTTTTTAAAATTTCCACAATGTTTTCTTTTAGAACTATGTTCAATGTAGTTTTCAGCTCCATTTAGTTTCCTGACTTAAAAGTTTTTAATCTATTTGAAAATCACGAATTGTAGCCATAGGTAGAGAGTTCTGCTCTCTACCTTTGGGCAGCTGCATCCCATTTCGATCACCATTTGGGACGTCATAAAACGACGTAAGACCATAAGGTAAAGTATCCATGAGTATCAGTGACTTAAGAATGATGGCGCTGCTTTTCTCTGTTCCTTTTTTAAAGATAAGTTACATAATTCAAATAAGTTACATAATCTAAAATAAATTTATAGATATCATACTCTTAGATGCCTCTAAATTTTTTAGCCATTTTTATATATTTGTTGAAGAAATCTAACGTCATTGATATATATGTTACATTCGTTTATCATTTACCAGTGATTCAAAAGCATGACTGCTGTTGAGTGTTAGCGTATGCTATCAATCCTTTATTCATCTTTACTTATAGCAATTATATTTAAAGGAGAGCTGGCTGCCAACTACTAAGCTTTTTGCAAAATATTCTAGACAATAAAATCTGAAGCTTTTAAAAACGTTGGTAATTCTGCCAACATTTTGAAGGCTAACTAAAGATCTGGAACAAAGTGGTATTTCATATTAAATTTTGAATCAGTTGTAATATAACGAGTTGAGGAAGATACATTCAAATCAAAATTACAAAAGAATCATACATTAAAATAAAAACCATTCCATAATTAGCACTCGAAGAAATTTTTCAAAAAGCGTCGTTGGCAGCCCTGTGTATTATAAAATAGTGTCAATTTTTTTATTATTGACTGCTACTGTTATACTTTCTACGCTTATTGAGAAAATTGCTTATAGTGGTAGCTAAGTTTTTTCGTTTTTTAATGTATAATTCTTTCCAAAGTAAAACTGATTTAAAATTGTTTTTCACAACACTACATTTAACTGTGGTAGAAAAGTTCATATGAAACACAAATTTATCCCATCTCTCACGTGGAGAAGCCTTTAACTCTAAACATACCAACACTTAACATATACCTATTTCTGCCATAGCCAGTCAAATGAACTCCAGGATCTGCAGATCGAAACAGTGGCTCTTAATAGCATTTATTGTCCGCGGAGTTAAATGTGTATGTTTTTTCATACAAAACAAAAGAAATAATTAACTTACAAACGAAAGAAATAATTAACAAACTAAAAGAAATAATGTGCACTCCATATTTAAAATAATTTTCTTCTCTAACATGTAGAAATTTGAAGCCTCTCTAGAATCCTGCAACGCTCCCGTTAGGAACCTATTTTTCTAGAATTTTTAGAAAAGGTTTATGTGTGCCTAAAATTTCTTTGCAATCTCTTATCCACACTAGTCCCTTTTTCTGGGTACAGCCCTAACAATTCCCAAATAATTCTGCTATCACATTCTTTTTCCTTAGAGTTATTCTTTTACATATAATTTGAACTTTTCTATTCATAAATTTATGATCATTATTCACTTTTTTCCAGCCAAATAAAGCGACAGTTTAGATTTTCAAAAAACAACTGTCATATCGATTGCTTTGGAAAATAAGTTGATAAAACACCATTTTCAAACTTGTTTGCATTCACACCTCAGTTTGTTTCCTTATATCAGTGTTTCCCAAACTTATGACTTTTGTGTACCCTTTCAAAATTTTTCGTACCGCTATGTACCATTAATACAAAAAAATTTTTTTTTACTGTAAAAAAATTGCCCAAAAGTTAAAAATCACAACTGGCTGTTGATACCCCTAATTGTTAACTGTTAACTCTGCAAAAAATAGCCAATCGAAAAATACGTAATCATAAATTTTCATGGCTAGTTTTGTTTTTAAATAAAATTTTGTGAAATTTTCGTTTGTTGCAAGATATTTCGCATAAGATTCTCGCTAAACTGTTCCCGTACCCCTGGGGGTACGCGTACCACACTTTGGGAAACACTACCTTACATGTTCTAGAATTCTTAAAACATTAATGTATGCTTTGATTTTACGCTATATTCTAAAATTAATTTGAAATTACATCGATAAGTAATAATTTCAAGCTGTTGGATAAAAGATTAATAAGATTTATTTACCTTCTCGCCTTCTTTTTCTTTTCCAAGAGCAAAATAATAGTTTGCTTTGCGTCGTATGTGAATATTAAATACTCGGCCAGCATATGTGATCATAGCAGTATACTGTACGATATCTGTTGGACGAGAAGTAGGCCTAATCAAAAATGCCCCATCTTGATCCAATTTTAATAAGCGATGTTGTGCTTCTGTTGCACTGATATCATGAAACCAAGAACTCCGAAGAATTGCATCCTATAATCAATCAATCAATCAAATGAGAATAATATTAAAATGAAAAATAAGTTAATAAAACACCATTTTAAGACTTTGTTTGCATTCACACCTCAATTTGTTTGGTATATTCCAGAATTCTTAAAACATCAATATATGCTTAGATTTAACGTTATATTCTAAAACTAATTTGAAATTACATCGATAAATAATAATTTATCGATGTAATTTTGATGCAACTTAAATAAGCGATGTTGTGCTTCTGTTGCACTAATATCATGAAACCAAGAACCCATTGCATCCTGTAATCAATCAATCAAATGAGAATAGTATTAAAATGAAAAACCTACAGGAACGTATATTACAGTTAAACTTTCAGTGACTCCTAGTATATTCAAATTCAGAAAAATAATGGGAAAAAAATTATTTTGTTTTGAAACTTTAGGAAAATACTCATAAGGGGTCTAGTAATGGAAAACAAAAACATTTTTCACCATTTGTGTGGGGGCGCTTATTTAAACTATAATTTAACTAAGTACTAAACAATTAAGTATTAGAATGTCGATCCTAGTAAAAAAAGAAAAATTTAGCTTTCCATCTTTAAAACTGTAAGTTTTTGGTTCGTTCCAAATAAAATTTTTACTCATGTTTTGATTTTACTCGTAGTTTTTGATCAATTAAATATTTCGAATTAATGTATATGTTTTTTTTATATATATATAACCGTCGTTGAACAGCCGGCCCAATTTTATGAGTTTACGACTGCTAATGTTCAACTCAGTTGCCTTGTGATTTTGAACTCAATCCAGAAGACAAGGAAACTCCGGGATCGAGTATTGGGAGAAATTTGCCTTCGTGAAGGACTTTTTGATGGAGCTAACCAGCATTTGCGCTACATGGAGAGGAAGAACACGATAACCACCCACGGTTAGCCTGATGAAAAGGGGACTCTTAACCCACGATCCATCTACCACTGAGGATATTTCACGTCAGCATTGTGGTGGGTGCAAGCAGGATGCGGAATTCGTATCGACTGGGATTCGAACCCGGTTCACCTCATTAGAGGGTGAACGCTCTATCCCCTAAGCCATCGCGGATAATATATATGGATTCCAGAAGTTAAAAAAATAGTTCTCCTTTCCGGAGGATGATATTCTTCTTTTCTTGCCTTAAAACTATAAATTCTAGGTATCAATGGCACCATGATTTAAGATTAATAAATAAGTCTTCTAGTAGCTACAATCGAAGATAGTTTATGAAGATGTGACAGATCATATCATCGATATGATTACTATCATCGATACATTTCAATTGACCAACATGATCAATTCCACAGTTTCTCTCAAAGAAATGATCACTTCACCGACAGCTTATTTTATCGAAACGACCACTTCGCAGACAGCTCATTTCGCCGACATGATAATTTCGCCAACAAGATCATTTCACTGACGTAATCATTTTGCCGACAACTCTTTTCACCGACATAAAAATTTAAATTTTGACTTATATTTTCCATCAAACTTTCTTAATTGCTCAATTTTTTTCTACTGAGATATTTTCTAGTGTTTATTATTATCTTAATTCAAAACTATTAATCCTGTCAACTCGAATTTTATTTCTTTTCAATTCAGCGTAAAAAATTTTATCGAAAAATGTACTTTACTCTCTCAGGTAGATAGCAGAGTAAAGATAATATTAATTAATGTCAAAATAGAAACATATATATTAACGCTTGCAACTTATTCGTTTTAGTCACTCTCGTTTAGTCTCATTTAATTCAACATGAAGAAACAATGTATCCCTTGTTTAGATCAGGGCTAAAGAGAATTTATTTTTTTAATGGCGGGCACTTGAGTGTTGTCCCATTGGCCACAGAAGTGCAACTCTCTTCTCGTTACCCAGTGGGCACCTGTGGCGAAGCCACAGCGGAGGAGCAGCGTCGCCCACGTCACACTACCACAAACCCGTTTATAGGGCGGGTCACATTCACACACAAAGGAGAAAGGACATAGAAAACAGAGAGAAAGAAACATCCATGCCCTGCGCAGGATTCGAACCCGCGACCAGCTGCACCGCAGTCAGACACGCTAACCGCTCGGCCACCAGGTCGGCGGGCTAAAGAGAATAGAAGGGCTAGTTCACTCACTAGTTCACAAGAAGATCATTTAACATGGCAAAATACAAAATCTGAATGAAATTTAACGAATAGTTCCTGAGAAATCAAATTTTAAATATACGACTTTTTTTTAAAATTTGATTTCTCTGGAATGCGAACTCCGTATTTGAGCTATTTTAGAACAATATGAATTTGAACCAACCGGCATAACAATTTTTAAAAAAAGCACATTAAATTTTTAAACTAATTAAATTTAATTTGTTTAAAAATTCAATGTGTTTTTATGTTTGAAGTTGTTTAAAAGGAAAAAGTGAAGTATAAATCATTCAAATATTTGGGGAAAAGAGGGCTTTTTTATCGTTATGAAATTACATTATAAGAATGCATATGCTTCATACTTAAACAAGTTTTAATTTTTCAATACATAGGATGCTTATTGTTTTTTTCATAGATATATATATATTTCTAAAAAAAGATAATAATTTAATGAAAATTAATGAATTACTTGATGCATTTATTGAATTACTGTTATTGTAACTTTAATGATATTACTTTTTTTGAGAAACTAAACTGTTGTAAACTACATATTATAGCCTTAATATTAAATTTTTTGTCCTTTTACTTTGATTAAAAGAAAGAAACATAATATGTAAATAAAGGACACTTTAGGAACCCTTTTAACCCCTTAACGATCGGTTAATTTTCAAGAAAACGGTCATAAAAGTGCCTATTTTTTCGGCTTTTGTATTTGTATTACGTATTTGATTAGTGCTGCATCTAGTTTAAAATAAACTAACTATCAACAATTACCCTAAAAATATCTTGGTACTGCCATCTGGTGGGAAAAATGAGAAATAAAATGTTTTCCGGGCAAAAGGAATGAATTAGTTTTATTCTTATTGTATCCTTTTAATTTTATTAAGCTAGTATTTTAGATATTTAAATANAAATTAAAATCAGCGAAACAAACAAGTAAGAAATTTTTAATTATAACACTGAGTTGAACTTCATTGAAAATTAATAAATGTGGGAACTATTAATAAAGTATTAATTAATAAATTTTGGAAGTATACTGTCCTACTGACAGTATACAAATTCAAGTGTATTTTTTTTTTCAAGAAATGCTATTTTTTCTTCATAAAATTACAGTCAAACCCCGCTATAGTGAACCTTCAAGGGACCGAAATTTCTGTTCACTATAACCGGGAGTTCAATATATCCGTTACGCAGGCAATTTAACTAATGGTTCCCAAACTCCTTCCTTTTATTACACATTGCTCAAATAAATGACTGAAAAATATTATGTAGTAGCAAAAAATGTGTTATTAAAATGTCTTGCGTACAAAAAAAATGTTAATCTTTAGCTGATGAGCAATCCTCAACATCAGATATGGAAAAACTTCCCGACTCTCAGATAATTTTTCCTGAATTTCTGTTATCCTGCTCTTTAAACCTGTCCAACCTGCCATTCGAGAACATAAAAGTAGTCTCATAAAATCGCTTAGAAAATTCATTGACATTTGTTTAGATGCTTCGATTGGTGAACTACTTCAGTAATGCTTCTTCAACATCCTTGTGATCTGCTTTTCTCAACTTTTTTCTGCCATCTTAATTTTTTTCATGAGCAGAAATTATTAATTGCCTATTTTTCCATATGTTACAAACTGTAGATTTGGATAGTTTATATTCCCTGCAAATATCAGCTTGATTGCATCAATTTTCAATTTTTCTGATAATGCCCATTTTATCATCAATGGAGAACGTTTTACGTTTACTGCTCGCCACAGTTAAATTTGAGACACTTGTTTACAGAATTTTTTAAACTGAACTGAGAGCAAAAAGGAGTTGAAATGAGGGCCTTATCAACACATAGTAGTGTCCAACCCTTTGACCAATAATGAATAATTGCTCATTCCCTCTGACAGAAAATGCATATTGATCTGACTGACACCTTACAGGGCATCGTCTGCCTGGGTTGGAAACATCTGCTTAGGGATTGGAAAGTGAGATAAAAGAAGCAAACAATAAAAAATGCTTATCGCTACATTCCCCTCTATAGATGGTTATGTATTTTTATCGGCATATGTATTTTTTTTTGAAGTAGAAATTTCAAAATTATTACAAAAAAAATCAGTTGAAGACAGAAAAAAGTTCATTATATCCAACTTCCTAACTTTTTTGGTTNTCCAAGAATTTACCATCTGAAAATAATAATTATGAAATTAAAATCAGCAAAACAAACAAGTAAGAAATTTTTAATTATAACACTGAGTTGAATTTCATTGAAAATTAATAAATGTGGGAACTATTAATAAAGTATTAATTAATAAATTTTGGAAGTATACTGTCCTACTGACAGTATACAAATTCAAGTGTATTTTTTTTCAAGAAATGCTATTTTTTCTTCATAAAAATAGATTTTGCTTCAAATCTATAAAAAAATTCTCTATAAAATTTTAAAAAAAGTTTGAAATATAATTTTATTATTAACATAAGCTATTTATATTCTCAGACAATCGCTAGTAACTTTATTAATAGTAGATATTAGCCAGTGATTTTTGAACACCCTGTACATAAACAGGACGTTCCGCAATTGGCACCCTCAACATGCATTATCCCTATAAAAAATTAAGTACAAAAAACTATATATATTATTGGTTTCTAATTAATATTTAAGGGAGAATAAAAACTTTTCCTAACTCAAACCAACCATTATTGAATTCGTGAAATGCAAAATAGTGATAATCAAAAATCAGTTTATTTCTCTAAGTGAATGAATTCAAAGGAAACTCAACTCATTATTAAGCTATATTTTTTACATTTACTCTAAAAGTTAATATTTGTACTAAACATATGGTCATTTAATTGCCAAGCTAAAAAAGACCATAAATTACTTTCTTACGTGATGATACGTAACTATTGTATGTTTTGATAATTTTGAAATGAGATTTATTTGTAAAAAAGAAGTTCATGAAGTCTATTATTTTTAATAGTTTGCCTAAAACTAATTTGATTTTTAAAACCTTCACAGGGTCGTAAAATTTTGCCTATAGTAAAGAATTCATCATTCTGTTCTTATAAATAATCGAATTTATAAATTCTGTTTGTTACTAGATGAATTGAAGGAGCACTTAATGCACAGGACAAAATAATTCCCCAGTTTTGGCCTTCCTTCTTAACCCCTTCCCCCCCCCCAATCCTTAACTATTTTCAGTATTTATGTAAACAAATCCTTTCAATGGTATCTTTTTTATTTTCTGAAATTATTAGAAGATGGCCGTAGATATTATAGGTGAAAAAATAGCTTAGCAATAATATTTAAAAAATAAAGCTGTTAATAGGAACTATTCTTCTCACCGCCTTATATAAGGTAAAAAATACTTAATAAAATAAATTATCTGAAACTAAATGCGTATGTGGTAGATAACTCCTTTAAGTTTTGCTGAATTGAATGAACAATTTAACTTCTCGATGAAGCCGGCCAGATGGCAGAGCAGTTAGCGTGTGCCATCTGGCCGTGTGCCATCTTCGAAGCCAGTGGCTGCGGTTTTGAATCCCGCTCTGGGCATGGATGTTTCTCTCTATGTGTTGTCCTTTGTGTGAATGTGGTTCACCCTATGAACGGATAACTGTGGCTGTGTGGCGTGGGTAACGTTGCTCGCCTCCGTGACTTAGGTTCACAGGTGCCCACGGGGTAGCGTTAAATTAGCGACACTTCCGGCATCTTCTCGGTACGTAAAGGTTTAGTACTTGGCATTAGAAAAAAAAACTTCTCGATCAATAAGTCAGTCAGATTCATTAGTTAAATAATCTGCGTCTTAATTAATAGAAAACAATAAATAGAATCAAGATGTTTGAATTTCTTTCTGTGGGGTTTAAGTGGATACCTTTTAAGCGTTTTGAACATTACAAATATTGTAAAACATAAATAGCTGAATGCCATAAATCTTCGCCTTTTATATTTAAGAATTAGTATATAAAACAAATTAATGCTTTATAAATTTATATTTTGATTATTTAATTTAAGTAATTTATTTAATCAGGGGTCTGTTTAGAAGAAATTTGGGTCCGTTAACGGACCCTTCACAAAATATCTTTTCATAAAAACGGATCCTTCACAAAATATTTTAACTTAAAAACGGACCCTTCACAAAATGATTTTTCTTTTAATCGGACCCTTCACAAATTTGTTTATCTTCATTATTGTTTTGTTAATCGAATAAACCCTTTCCAGGGCAGAAAACAAGAAAGATGGATGTAAACGAATTAAGTTTTGTCTTCGGCAGACGATTCTTCCATTATTCGTCCGAAATTAATATTCTGCGTTCAGCAGTATAGGCTAAATACCAAATATTTGTATGTTGCATCTCTAATTTAGAAGCAGCAATTGTTGTTTATTTTTTAAAATTTAATTTTTTTAATTATAATTTTACAGTGTTGAGCATAATCTTGTATGTCTTTACAATTTAAAAACTCCTTGAAAAAATTTTTTTTTTGCAATAACGGACCCTATTTGCACAAATTCATAAAAGCGGACCCTGGTTGAAAGAATGTGAGTAATTTTTTCACAATTTCACGAAAAACGGACCTTTCACAAAATGTCTGGACAGACCCCTGATTTAATGTAATATAGCAAACTTTTATGTATCTTATCTGATGGATCGCCACTTACTAATACTATAAAAAACAAACAAAACCTGATGCAAAATTTTCTGCTTCATTTTTTCTGATCACCACCGGATCCGTTACTTTTGTGGCCATTCCTGTTGAGTTTCTTTTACTTTTATCTGAAGGATTCCAAATTGTTGTACTGATATCTTTCACTGTTTGCACTAAACTTGTATAAGACAATGATCTTTGAGTTGACTTTATTTTTTGAGGCAATGTTGGTCGATTCAAAGAATGAAAAGCACTAAAATCTAGAAAGAAAATTCCCATTAAAATGGACACACAAATTTGCATAATCCGAAGCTCCTTTACTAAAGAAAAAAAAATTGGAGAAACTTTAAGTAACATTTTGATTGTTTTGTCTCTCGGTAAAGAATATTTTAAGTATTTGTTCATTATGTTTTTTTTTTATAACTGTTGAGAGTTTCCTACACTCTAAAACTTTTACTATGCCTGTCTATGCCACTCTATGCCTGTCATGAAATTGGTACAAAACATTAAAATGAAGAAAACCACAGTTTTGTAAAAATGTAAAGCGTTTGTTATCTAATTTTTTAACGATTGAAAAGTTTATATTCATAAACATGTGCAAAAATTGTGTCCAGTTGGCAGTTTCAAAAAAAGGTTATATATATATATCACCGATTTGGCAATAATCTCAGTACACAATAACCTCAGTAAACAATTGATTCTTCTTAGTTTAAAAGAAAATTCTTTTTAAACTTCATTTTTATCACTTTAATTGGATGTCTTACAAAATTAAACTATATACGTTGAGTGCATTTATTTAAATAAAATAATTTAAAAAAAATTTACATTAAAAAAATATTAAAAAGCCGGATAACAAAATAATGAAGAGGTATAACCTATCCATCAGCTCACACGACTATATCCGCAAAACGGAGTGTTTTCTTATATTGTATCAATATAGTCAAAGCAAAATATATCAATACAATAGTGTGAGCAGCACTCAAAACGGAAATCGAAAACATTATATACGAAGCGTATAAACGAAATAAAACACGTCAAGCAAAAACCAGAAAATAAAATGTAAAGAAAATACAGAACAAAGCACAAAACGAAATCTTTAATAAAGTGAGTAGAGAATTCAAATGAACTTACACAAACCAGAATCTTTCCAGAATGATTTTAAATATTTTCGTAACAAGATTGCCAGATTACAAAACATGAACACAGAAGCGGAAATAGAGGTTAGAAGCGTAAATAGAGGGATCTTTTATGGCGCTTTCTTACTACAGTACTGAAGCGAGTTTGATTAGTTAGTTAACTTAGATTGGCCCGAAAATGGATGTGCGCAAGACAATTATATTATACTGGATAATTTATAATTAATGTTTATAATTAATAAGATTGACATTTAATTATACAATTTTAATGATTTTAGAAAATTAACATTTATTTAAAAATATAAACATAAATTGTCCGTTTTGCACAGATGCTTAGCCACGGATTTGCCCGAATTGGATTTGTACTTAAAAATATAAATTAACAAAGAATTTTTTTGTAAATTTATTAACTATATATATATATATATATATATATATATATATATAT